GTTGTTGTACGCTGCGTTCAGCCATATGATAATTAAATACTACCCATCAAAAGTTTAGACTTGAAGCACTCACTATATGTTATGTATATATATGGTTGCATCGAAGATGAATTTCTCCACTTAGTTGGGGGAACCAAGTGCAAACCTTATGCAGATGAACTGCGCAAAGAAAAATTGCTGGAAAGCATGTGCAAATATCATGCATGTGAACAGCTGTGTTTTTGTGTAAAGTTTTGTTAAGAATTCGCCAATTTTCACTGAGTTTCATCATTTATTGCACTCATTACAATTATCTTTCCGTTACGAATTTTTACAATACATCAGTTCATGTGTAAACAGTACCTTTAAACAGTATGGAATATTTTGCAAAATCTAGTTTGGAACAGTTGACAAACTAAACTAAACTTTTGATGAGTAGTATATAACAGCAGTCTGTAAATAATCATTGGTGGACCAGACAAACCAGTGATTGGCATCATGAGCATCGATCTACACAATACAGGCCGGTATAGTGGAAAAATGATCAGGGCAAGTGATTTTACATGTGCCACTGTACCGGAGTACACTAGCAATTTTAAAGTTATTTCCATCCCTGATACAGGATGTGATGCCTTTCTAGTAATAATCCTGATCTAACAGACCAAAACCATTAAGATATATTGACTGAATATCACTTATCATTAGCATTGTTCAGGTTAATGAAAATAATGTAGATTGATTTGGTTTGGGTTTCTTACCATAGTCAGTCATAAATTTTTCATTTAATTCCAATGATAATGTATTTTATTGGTTCTTGTTTAATGCCGTACTCAGCAATATTCCAGCTATATGGTGGCTGTCTGTAAATAATTGAGTCTGGACCAGACAGTCCAGTGATCAACAGTGAGTGATTGAGTTTAGTTTTACACCACACTCAGCAATATTCCAGCTATATGGTGGCTGTCTGTAAATAATTGAGTCTGGACCAGACAGTCCAGTGATCAACAGTGAGTGAGTGAGTTTAGTTTTACACCGCACTCAGCAATATTCAAGCTATATGGTGGCTGTCTGTAAATAATTGAGTCTGTACCAGATATTTCAGTCATTAGCAGCACGGGCATTGATATTCGCAATATGGATACATTGACATGTGTCAACCAAGTCAGCGAGCCTTACCACCTAATCCAGTTAATACCCTATTACGACAAGCGTGGGTTGCTGAAGACCAATTCTAACCCAATTGCATATATTGATGCTTATGCTGTTGATCACTGGATTGTCTGGTCCAGACTCGATTATTTACAGACCGCCACGATATAGCTGGAATATTGCTGAGTGCGGTTTTAAACAATAAACAAACAAAAAACCTATTGGTTTACGGTGTGACATTAATAGAGTCATATCTAGTCTTTACAATTTTTTAAATTACTATGCTGTTATCATATATTTGTATTTTGCAATGCAGATGAAATACTGAATTATGTACATTTCAAGTATTTGCTATGAAGTTATGAACTGAAATTCAGTTCCTGAAGGATTAGTGAGATCTTGTTTAGTTTGTATTGATAAACTACCAAGAATCATACACGGTATAAACAAGGCTTAATGAAATTTATTTTGCATGTGATATTTTGACATTATTCCACAGTTTGTGATGAAACAAGATTATGCAAGTAACCTATGAAAAAATGTGAGTTGCTCATGAATGAAGTGTTATCAGAAATTGATAATATTTATCAGTCGTCCCATTTCTGGGTTGTTGTCACCATCAGCTGAAGTAAGCTTTCATTTGTGGTGTATAGTCTGTGTGGTGTTCATACATTCCCGTGTGAACGAAAGCTGTGTAGGGTGCCCTGTCTGTCCAGTGTGGATGGAGGGAGGGAGGTCAGTTCTGAGAACAGCCTCCTAGACAAAGGTGCACTGACCTCAACTGTACACAGTTAGAGGGACCAGTCATTGTAGCATTTTGGCACGTCTGTAGGCCAGTGTTACCGCTCTGCTATGCATCTGTACAGACAATGATTGATGTATTTGATAAGGGGATATGATATGATCTTTATTGTATATAACAATTTGATATTCAGCATCTGTTGTAGTTATGACTTCTGCATTTTTAGATTTATACACAGGATTCTGTCTCCTGGCAAATTATTGTTCAAAGTCTTGTTTTAATAAGTTCACAGGAATTTTGACATTTTATATTGGTGTTGCATTCAATACATTGATTGATTTATTCCACAGCATTTAAAGCTCTTCCTCTTCATTGACCATTTTGTCAGTAAAGCAACTATTTATGTGGGTCATCAATTAATTACAACTTTTTCAACACAAATTTGGATTTTTAATTGCCAGTGTCAAAATATTGAAATTTTCTATAGAGAGGGTAAGCCTGATGTACAGATTATTTGTTCGAGTGTGTGTGCATATGTTAAACCCAAACCCATTCATCCTCTTGCAAAGTTGTGTTTATAAATTACTTATGTGAAAAATGTAAGATTCATATAATGGTGCCAATATCACAATGCTCAAAATGTTTGGTGGATGATCACGTTCTCTTCAAATGAGCCTCAAATATCAGTGAGTGAGTATAGTTTTATGCCGCTTTGAGCAATATCACAACAGAGGACACCAGAAATGGGCTTAACTCATTGTACCCATGTGGCTTATTGAAACCGGTCTTCAGCTTGACAAGCAGACACTTTAATCATTAGGCTACCCCACCACTCCCTCAAATATAAGATAACCTTCCACTAGGGCTGCGCAATATAACCGGTCCAAACATGAACACGATACGTATTGCGATATGCTGATCGAAAACCGGTATTTTGACATGCATTCGGAAAACTTCGTAACACCAGGAAATCTTCGGATATTTTCAATCGTTCCTTTCCTTGTTTCATTTGTGCCAAACATTATTTACATTTATACTTTGTCATCATTAAACGTTTTTATCAAAGCCTAGTCAAGCATAGTGATTTTGTTCTGTTTTTGCTTTATAAATCAAGCATTAATTCGATAATAAGTAGTTTTTGTTAAAAAAAACCTTCTTGCAATATATTGCAATACATATCGCAATATATGCTTTCGCATCGCAATATATCGCAATATGAAAATTCTATGCAATACCCACCCCTACCTTCCACTAAGCCTGTGGTCTCTAGTAACTGACTGCCAAAGGCAAGGGTAGAAATACTTCTGTATTTTGCCCAGCGAAATGATCATCCACAGAATTACTAACTACATTCTGATATTAGCAGAGGCTGTCATGAATCAACACAAGACTAAGATTTATCCATGAATCTGTACTAAGTGCTCCTGGCAGACAGATTGGGGGAAAGTTATAATTATGTCCAAGACTGAAATTTTGGTTTGGATTTCTGTATGATTTTTGAAGTTGAGTTATTTTAACATTATATTTTATGACTATTCAAAGCAAAAATATAACAATAAGCATCAAAATTTTCAGTATGTTTTTCCTGATAATATGAAATTTACATCATGTTAGCATCCTCACAGTGCCAAAAAATTAGTAATTATATATCTTAAGATGACTTTTAACCAATCATAGACCTCAGGGAAGATCCAGAGAAGTCACTGCTTGCCATCTCTAATATTTAAGCCTAAAAAAAAAATGTTGAGGTTCCGATTACCCGACCGACCCTTGAATTCTGGCTCCGACCCTAGTTTTTTTAGACTTAGGTGTGTGAATAAAATAAGCTTTCAGATGTCATTGTTTTTTCCAGGCACCATAGGACATTGGTCATTCTGATAAAGAAAGTCGACATGATAGCCGCAAGCTTGATTGAATAAATAAGATCGTACTTTACTTCTTAAAAAATGTATTTAAAAAAATCCACCCTACCTACCTACCCTAAATTTTAAAGAGGTGTAATCTGTGAGTGGAATTTTAGAATTCTGGAGGACTGATCTGGTGATCAAGCTATGCTGAGGGTTTTACATAGCTCTTCGAAACTGGGAGTCCTGGGGACTCAGGGCATATTTTTTTTGAGAGTCCATTTCCAAAATTTGGGGTCCATCAATTTGCATTAAATCAATGATAATGAATGCTTCCCATTTGATAATGATTATGTTATGATATGTGTTACTTTCAATGTCATTAGAATAATGATTGTAAATAGAATGTTTATATTTTAATATGGGATATCATTACAAACTCAGGACATTCTTTCCCAGAAAAAAATTATATTGCCTCCACAAGGATGCACAGGATTTTAGTTTGGGGGTACTCCACCAAATTTCTGCGTCCAAAACGCAGGAATCTTGCATCCCGTAAAACCCTGTATGCTATGTGTCAAAATATATTCCTCAATAGCAGTCAGTTGTTCTATAGTTTTACTCTTACTATTACTTTTTTTAGATATATAAAGTATACTTAATACAACATTCTAATATATTATTTCTGATATCCAATTACTTTCACAAGAAATTTATTCTGGCCATAGTAGTGACTAGACTGTATCACAGTCCCTCCCTTTTCCGTTTAGCCTTTTCTGCAAAATTAATAACTGTTATTGAAGTAAGTCTAGATTTCCCGAGGTTTCAGATGATGATGTACTTTTACACTGTACATGTATAATCTTACGTATTATACAATGTATGGTTGCTGTTTTTGCACATCCACAAATTTTTTTAAGCAAAGTGATTTTCGACGGGACAATTTCTTCTGTTTATTCCTTCAAAATTATTAGAATTTATATTATTGGATATTTCTTAAGTCAATCATGGGTATTTCAATGATAAAACATGAGTAGAACTGATGTCTATTTCCTGTTTACTTTCCAAGACAAATACACACAGTAATTGTAATTTCTACTTACAATACTGCATAGTGTACTCCATTGGAATTTGTAAATAATTATGTAAACTCATTATATTCCTATCCTAGTTTCACTCAATCATGTTGACAGACCTGCTTGCAAAGTATTAACTGGGATGCAGCTGTCATAGTTCATAACAAAATTCTGAAAACCAAAAAGTTTTCATAAAGTCAACAACAAAAATTCCAAAATCAGATTTTATACTGTTGAAATATATTTGTCATCGATGTATTTTTTCCCTTGTGTATGGCTGAAATACTGCCTATGTGACGATAACTTTCACTTGCACACAAGTCAACATTGTGGGCTCTTGTGCTTTCATAACCGTCTGTTCTGATATGAATAGACTAGTACTGTTTCCTTTGTTTATTCATAGTTTTAACAGTTATATTGGGATTGAGATATATTTATTATACACCAGTGACCTTTGACCTGATATATGCTAATTACATCGTGGCTGGTGTGATGCAATGAGAACCTATTCTGTGGACTTGGACTGGACAGTTGAAATTCCTCACATACTTGCTTGATGAAAGCACACTGGTTCTGTGGCCTGTGTTGGGTCAGGCAAAGATATTGTTGACCAGACCTCTGATGCAATGGCTCAATAAACCAGGCTGGCCTTCTGTTGAGACTTTGTTAATTGCTGGTCCATTCAAGGCTGCCATTGTCCAGGCAGTGATGTAACAATTGTATCCCTGGCAGCTTCACTATAGCGCCAGCTTCAGCTTGTTGTGTTTAATCCTGCTGAGCAGATTGAGAATTCTGTTTGGTTTCATTTGTTTACTTTTTCAAGTACAAAAATATGAAAGTTTCTATTGTCATCTCAGTGCCTTTCTTTGGGCAGGATTGCTTGTCCTCATTATTAGGACATTCAGCTCTCCTATGGCATTTTCCTTTGATTAAGTTGACAGCAGGGAGTCTTCCTCACTATAAGGACATCAGCTGATCACAGGCCAATGTGTCACCTCAGTATTGCTCTGATGTTGATGACTACATGGCTGCCTCACTATAAGGACATCAGCTGATCACTGGCCCATGTGTCACCACAGTATTACTCTGATGTTGATGATTACATGGCTGCCTCACTATAAGGACATCAGCTGTTCACTGGCCCATGTGTCACCTTTTGATGTCCTGAAGAAAATGTATTCACAGTTTCCTCACTATAAGGCCTTCATCTGACCACTGAACCATGTGTAGTGTTTTTAAAGATCAGTAGTTGACCAGCTGCCGAGGGGTCAGTGAAGCATGACTGTCTCTGGGCTGGCTGTCCGAAAATAGATGCCTGCCTATCCCCATAATTTGATATGACCCTTGGTCCTTCATTCATGGATGTATTCTCATGGGACCTTTCACTCACTGCAATCCAATCTGAAAAACAAGATGAAAGTAAATACAGAGAATTATGGGAAATCTGAATTCATATGGTCTTAGAGGATTTGCTTCCAATTTTAAAATCCACCCTAATATAAAAAAAAGTATATTTTTTTGTCAATTTGAGAGTAAGAATGGAATCATAATGAAAAACTTGTTGAAAATAAAACCAGCACATGACTTGCATTCAAATGAAACAGTCCTCAAAATAATGTGTCATGTTGCAAATAACAGAATTTGAAGTTGTCTTGGACAAGTCTGAGTAGATGTGGTTCAGTCCTTCTCATCAGTATTCAGTGGGTGTTGTGGATGCTACTACTATCTTGATGTACAGCAGCTTTATACCAGCTGTGTTGCAGGTAGACTAGAGAGAGAGGACAGGCCCCTAGTACCAGAGTCCTCAGCTTCCCAAAATAGCTCTCAGCCTTGCTTCATTATATTCACCCTAGACAGATAACAGCTGACGAAGAGCCTTTGTTACGTCCGCCCTGATTGGTCAATTATTAATATGGCTGGAGGGGCAGGAATCTGTGGGCCAATTATGGTGTGTGAGAGTTACTGAGAGACGGAGGTGGTGAGTGGCTGAAGCAGTCCCAGTAATCAGGTCAGCTTGAGCTCAGAGAACTGAAGAAGAGGCTGAGGGGATTACTGGCTGTATTCTCATACCTACATATCTACATACTGTGTACATGGGGCACCAGCACCCTCACGGCCCCTACACAAACCTTCCCGGCTTCCCTCGGAGACAGGACAGCCTTGGACATCCATGACACGGCCATCTTGTGTGTGATGATCGGACCTGCTCTGTGGAATACAGGCCTTCAGCAGAAGAATGTGAGCAAGTGACTGGCCCCCCTCCATCCATAGTGCTGTATCAACCAGGCTAGCATGAAGAGACCTCGATACACATACGCCCAAGTGGGTCATCCACCTGATTCAGAAAAACACTCAGCTCAGTGAATAACTCGTGATATCACATGGCCTGCGTTCATCCAACTTGGGCTGAGTCTTGTTCTTGCTGAGGATACAGTGTGGTGGTTTTTTGTGTGTGATTGTGTTTAAAAAGTTGATGGCATGTCATTTAGCAGTGAGATCACATGAAGGGGGAAACTCTCATGACCTGATGTAGAGAAATTTTGGGGGAAGGTCTCAAAAGGTGGATTTTGTTTTTGTGATATCTAGCGACACGTTGAATAACAGTGAGGTATATGCTGTGATATATTGATATACCTGAGGATATACACTGGATATATACTGGGTTGTGGAATTTCTGTATCGTGAATTTCTTGGAGTTTGGTTGTGGATATTCCCGGATGGTACAGGAGAAGAAGGCAACACTCGCTTCGTTGGATATGGAAAGTAACGGATTAGCGGACGATTGCGTTCAGTTTGTGAACAAGACGCTGTGGTTGCAACACGAACAGGAGGCCTATAAACAGACCATGCGACTCAAACGTTAGTATCATCATTTTCTCACACAATTTCATGTTAAGAGGGGCGGTGGGGTAGCCTAGTGGTTAAAGCGTTGGCTCGTCACGCCGAGGATCCGGGTTCGATTCCCCACATGGGCACAATGTGTTAAGCCCATTTCTGGTGTCCCCCGCCGTGATATTGCTGGAATATTGCTAAAAGCGGCGTAAAACTAAACTCAGTCAGTCAGTCATGTTAAGATGGGACATATGGGTGGACGAATCGTTTAAGAAACCACAATTCGCAGTACACGTCAGAAACTATTGTCTTTGTTATTTCCGACACAGTGAATGTGTTTCACCAAACTGGCAAACATCTCACACACTAAACTAACACATCCTCATATGACTAATATACTGAAATTAATTTCAGTATATGTCATTTTCCAAAATTTATCCTAAAATTCCGTGATTTAAAAAAAATAACCCCGAAATAATGTAAAAATTTCATCTTTCAATCTAGTTAGTGAGCCTTGTCAGCCAAGTAAAAATATATCCGCCTCTGTGAAGCCTTCACGTGTCACCACAGATGTGCTTTGAGAAACCTACAGGATCTTAACATTACGGAAAGGTAGGGTGTTGACAATCTGGTTGCTAGGTGAAGCCATTTGACCTGTTCAGGTATCAGCTGTTTCTCTAGGTGCTTGATTCATTGATAGAGTGGTGAGTAACTGTAGCTAATTTCATCAGTGTGGGCTGCATGAGAAGGGTGTTAACTATGTGTGTGTGTGAGACATAGAGAGACAGAGAGAGAGATTACTTTTATGTCACATTTAGCATTATCCCATTAATGTCACAATGGTGGACACCATCAATGTACTTCACACACTGCATCCATGTGGGGAATCGAACCGGGGTCTTCAGTTTGACAAGCAAACACTTAAACCACTGGACTACTCCACAGCCATCACTAGGGCTGTGTACTGGCAAATTAATTGTATCCCAATATATTGCAGTTCAGGTACCTTTATTGCCATGTACTGGGAGGTAAACAGATCGGTAAGAAAATATGTAAGACTTTGACCAGCAAACCAGTCTTGGTGTTTACAGAGATGCCAACTCATACGATTTTATCGTACTCGTTATGAAAAACAACAACACAAAATACGCAACTATGATAGTAGTTAAAAAAATGCATTAAATTAAATTATCAAATAGCATACGTACCATACACAAGCAAATCCAATCACATTTTATTCAGTATCAAGCTGTATGTGGATGCTTACTACTGATTTAGGTGAGTACACAGTTACTAACAAGCCCTTAGAATATCTGTATGTTTTTTATTGAATAAAACCTTTTGGAAATGTTAATGCCAATTTTGGCCCAAAAAAACACTAATTTTTGCGTCAGTTTTGGACCAAAATACCAATTGGGCTAAATTAGGGTTGGCATCTCTGTTTTTAACGCTGGTTAATGTGTCTACCATATGACATACCCTGTAGGTCAGAACTGGAGGTTAGTGGAACCCTGTAGAAGAAGCATCAGGTTTGTTCCCAAGGAAAAGAAATGAAAGTTTCCAGCTGACAGTTATATAACCTGATTTCACAAGTAATTTTTTATAAATTATCTCCCTTTAATGTCAGTTGACATTGGATGTATTTTCTGATTCTTTGTTTGTTTGGTTGCTGACATCAGATTCAGCCTATCCTATCAGATGGCCATAATTTAACTGCTGATCTGGTGACTGAGATTATCTTAACCTGAATTTGAGTCGGGTCAAACTGTTTGAAAGTTTGTGTAGTAGGGTCAACAAGGATGGTTATTCCCCTTCAAGGATAGATATATTGCCCAACAAGAATAGTTATTCCCCTTCAAGGATAGATATATTGCCCAACAAGAATAGTTATTCCCCTTCAAGGATAGATATGTTGCCAAACAAGGATAGTTATTCTCCTTCAAGGATAGATGTATTGCCCAATGAGGATAGATATATTGCCTTTGAAGGATACATATATTGCCAAACAAGGAAAGTTATTCCCCTTTAAGGATAAATATATTGTCTTTCAAGGATAGATATGTTGCCAAAGGAGGATGGTTATTTACCAATAAGGATACTTATTCCCCTTCAAGGATAGATATATTCCCCCACTCGAGAAGATACTCTGCTCAGATAGGTGTATTTCCCACCTATGGCATTTGTTCTCATGCTCAGATTGGTGTATTCTCCAGCTAGGATAGTTATTCCCCAGCTAGGATAGTTATTCCCCAGCTAGGACAGTTATTCCCCAGTTAGTAGAGTTCAGTAGCCAGTGGAGATAGTTCATGCCACGGCTAGAACTGTTCATTTCCCGGTCTGGAGTCATTATTCCTCTGCTAGGATAGATACAATCTACTTAAAACTCTGTCAACATGGACGATCATTGTTGGAAGCAGTTGTTGGTGAAACAGCTGTTCTCAGCCCACTCGTTATCCTCGACTCAGCTGCCCTGTGAATCATACCATTCAAGATGTAATGGGTGAATTTAGGAATTCAGCAAGTTTGCCAATATTGTTTCCCATAGACTGGGAAGCTGTTCAAGAAATGACTTAAACATGGCTTTGGATTTATTGAGTCACAAATACAATAAACTTATGTATGTGTAATTCTGCAAAAATGGTTAATTCAGTTCTTGTAAATAAACTAAGTCAACTATAGTACCTTCACCGACTGGTTATTAAATCAATAACACAAAATCCTGGCGACTTACATAATCTGTGACATCATTCAGTCCAATAATGCAGGTAAGACCAGCCCACCCTTTTAAAAGATTATCAGGAAACACTAGACCACCAGCGGGCGTAGTCTGATAGATTATTTTGGATTTATTGGAACATAGATACAAAAATAATAGTGTGGTTAGTCAATCAAATGACACGTGATCACCTACAATATATTGGAGGAAATGCTGTTTATCGGTAATTTGATTAAAATGTGAGTTTTCTTTCCTGTTTCTATTTTTTTTTTTTTTTTTTTTTTTTTCCTTCTTCTTCTTTCTTTTCATCTTCACTCTTTCTAAAATTGGTAATCTGCTGAGTGCTAAGTCTTCAAATATAACCCGTGTCGTTCTTCCTAAATGGCCTATGAGACAAAAGAAGTGATCAAATTGGAAGAGTAGTTGAAATAAACCTGCCTTTTCATCCCAAGTTATATTGGAGTGAGCCTAGTGACCAAAAAGCTTTGATGTCCACCAAACCCTCTTTGCCTAGGGGGGAATGTATATATATATACGAATCGAACCATACTGTGGTTAATCCTGCCTCTCCCACACCTAATCCCCTCAAGCCTCAGGGAATTAGACATATACTTGACAAAGAACAAGTCCACTGTGGTCTCCTTTCACTCCAATAACTATCAAGCTCCGCCTTGCTCCTTCCACCTTTGTGGGTGTCGTGACATCCATGTACTAGTGTGTGGGTGTCTATCTTTTTTGTTTGAACTACCATCAATTCTTACCTTACCTAACCACCACCCACCATCCCTCACTGCCTCCAACCCTCTCTCTCCCTCTCTCTGTCTCTCTCTCTCTCTCTCTCTCTCTCTCTCTTTTTCTTACTCTCTCTCTCTCTCTCTCTCTCTCTCTCTCTCTCTCTCTCTCTCTCTCTCTCTCTCTCTCTCTCTCTCTCTCTCTCTCTCTCATGTGAAAATATAAATGTATGAATAGCCTTCTATTACTTCTTCACCCCCAAGATCCAGCCTCACCCCACCCCTCCACAACTTCCTCGTTCACATGAACCCCCTCTCCCCCTTTAGATGTACCCCCCACCTACATTGTCCTGACCCTCCAACCATGGCCCCAGTGGGATCCCTGTTACTATGTAAACAGACATATGTGGGTCCCATGCTGTGAACAGGTGCCCCCTCCAACATGGCCCCTGCATGCTCCTACTTGTGTCTTGTGTGCCTTGATTCTAGGAAGTCTATTGTAGCCAGACAGTGGGTAGTTATGACAGGTCCCTACTTGCCTGTGATTACTCAATCATTGCCTGTATTATGCTGCTGGGAAGTCAAAGTCTCCACGCCCAAATTCCTTGCAATAATATGCAAGGCATCGATCATAACCTCAAACTTGACCTGATTTTTAAATGACAGCTATGCCTTTCAGTGTTTGAAATTAAGAATGTAAGGATAGTTCAACCAATGGTAATCTTATTATTTTACGGAATACCTCAATTAAAAACAAAACTTCAGTGATGCTATTTTTCGGAGCTGCCGTATTTTCATTTAAAAAAAAAATGTATGAATTTATTATTATTTCTATTATTATTTTCATCAAGTGAAAATTAAGACCTGTATCTCTGTTACACTTTGACCTACCAAACTACAGGTCACAGGACCCATCAAATAACAAATTTCAAAGACCTTCACATGAAATACTGTACATGTGTACTGTGTAACTTTACAGCCAATTATTGTCATAGCAAAATTTCCTGTCAAAATGATTCACAATGAGGATTATGTCAAACAAAATCTTTGAGACAGTGGATGTGACATTGAACCTCCAGGGGCACCTGCCCTGGGGGATGTGATCGAGATAAAACCCCATATAATTACTCCTTGTCTGTAGGTGTGAACACTGGATATGTCAAACACAAACCTGAGTTTGTCTGGGTTGAACTGATATCTCATTCCCTAGGGGTGAAACGGTACACCGCGGTATTAGCAGAACCGTGGTATTTTGCCTTTGGTTCAGTATACTGTAATGCAATCCCAAAAATTTTATTATTCTTTTTAAATCTTTTATACCTTTTCCAAAATGTCTAGAAATTGAATCATTTTGTCAAAATCTATGCGTTTCTTTTCTTTCTGTATTATGATCATATTTCATATACCGAACGGACCGAACCAAAGGTCTTGTACCCCAATACGTACCGTACCTTGGAAAGAGCGTACCGTTTCACCCCTATCATTCCCTCGCCTGTCCGGATGCATGTCCATGATAGTAGAGGTGCACAGTGGTACCAATGTACAACGATTTTATATATTTCCACAATATGCTGAGAAAA